TGTCCTCATTGACAAGAAGAAGGAAGCTGCCACCGATGCTCTGCAGCGCAAGCAGAGAGAGGAGGAGACCCGCAAGCGTATCCGTACTCAGCAGCTGCAAGAGGCTGAGAAGCAGAGACTGCTTGACGAGCAGCGGGAACGCGAGAAGAAGCGTCTGAAGGATGAACAGGACCGTATCCGCCAGCAGGAGCTCAAGAAGCAGCTGGAGGAGCTCAAGAGTGGTGTCAAGGGCATCGACATCAGCGAGATCGACCTGGAGGACATGGATGCCAATCGGCTGCGTGCCATCAAGCTTGCGCAGCTCGAGAAGGAGAAGAACGAGCTCAATGACCGCATCCGCACCACTGCCAAGCGTATCGATCACCTGGAGCGTGCCTTCCGTCGCGAGGAGTTGAAGCACATTTCCGAGGACTACGAAGCCCAGAAGAAGCGTGACATGGAGCTTTACGAGGCCACCAAGGCCGAGACTCTCAAGGAAGCCGAGGAGAAGCACAAGGAGGCGGTTGCCCTCAAGCACCGTCTCAGCCGCCTTGTTCCGGTCTTCAGCAGCTTCCGCAAGGAGGTGTCAGAGAAGCGCCACGAGGAGTTTGAGAAGCGCCGCAAGGCCGCCGAGCGGGAGTTCGAGGCTAAGAAGAAGCAGCGTGTCAAGGAAGTTCAGGAGCGCCGCCGTCGCGAGAGGGCCGAGCGTGAAGCGGAAGAGCGCCGTAGAAAGGAGGAGGAAGAGCGGGCCGAACGCGAAGAGGAGGAGCGTATCGCCAAGGAGGAGGAGCGCAGACGCGTCTTGGCTGAAGAGAAAGCCAAGCGTGAGGAAGAGAGAAAGTCAGTTTCTCCCCGGTTCTATAAATTTTATTCCAATGGTACTAACTTACGATACAGGAGACTCGACGAGATTGCTCTACGGCAGAAACAGCGTGAGGAGGAAGCCGAGGCTCGCCGTGCTGCTAGAAAGACTGGCCTCGCAGAACCTCCCACCCGTGCTGCTGAGCCCGAGCGGCCCGCGGAGCGGACAGCTCCTCGCCTTAGCCTCGCATCTCGTACTGGCGGTGCTCCCAGCTGGAGAGAGCGTCAGGCTGCCAAGGAGGCTACCGGCGCTGCCCCTGCCGCCGCACCTGTCTCTGCACCTGCTCCTGCCGCCGAGGCACCTAAGGAAGAGGTCCAGCTCCCCCGCAGAACCGGCGGATACGTGCCCCCTCACCTCCGCTCTGGAGCCAGCGCCTCTCCCGCTGCTCCTCCTTCGGACGGTCCTGCCCCCGAGAAATACGTGCCCCGTCACATGCGCGAATCCAGCTCCTCCCAACCCCCCTCCCGCACACAGACTCCCCCCGCCGCCGCCAGCTCCGACAAGCCCGAGGGCTCCCCCGCTCCTCAGAAGTGGGTGCCCCGGTGGAAGCAACAACAGCAGTAGAGATAGAGCAATCAAGCAAGCCCTTGTCTGTTGAATCTTCAAAAAATTTGAACGCAAAAAGTTTCCGTCTGCCAAACGTGGAAAAGGGTGTATGATTCGTGTCCGTTTTGGAGGACTCATACCCCTCATTTGCATTCTCTTACTCACTCTCTCTCTCTTTTAATTCTAACGGTGTCTCTGCTACCTTGTCTGGTTGTTCTTCTCATGTTTCATGAATCTAGAGAGTGGGGACCCTCCCCTTTCTTCTCTGGGTAGCCATCATGTCTGTTGTTGACTGCATTGTGTCCATAAATGAAGTCCAGGTTTTCCCCGTCTATATCTTACGTCAGACGACTTTTGTTGGATGAATAATGCAGGAAGAATATGATTTCCACTACTTTATTTCTCTTTTATGTGATCCTGACTGTAGCTCGTGTTCGTAATTAGGCCCTCTCATTAGTTTCCGTGGTGGTTCAGGTTTCTGTAGACCAACTTACGAATCAACCAGCGCATGAGAAAGAAGGAAACATTAGAACCAAATGCATAGACAAGGTTTCCGCGAACAGAAGAAATCTATATATTCTTGAAGAGAAAGAAGAAAAAGGGGGTATGTTGCAAGCTACGAAGAAACCCATAGATAAGGACATATGGACAGGATTTGAATCGATGTATCGCGGCAAAGATACAAGACCAAGAAAGCAATCGGTTTAAGCAGCGGCCATTTCCGCCCCAGGAGCAGCAACAGCAGCCGCGCCAAAGAGCCGCTCCCTCCATTCGCCGCACACGGCCTCGAACCCACTGACGACGTCCCGACAGACGCGGCCAGCTTCGCGGTCTCGCAACCGGCGGTCCCAGTCCCCCTTTTCGATCCACCGGGTGCCTTCTTCGCGGCCTTCCTCCTCGCGGCGCAGCTCGGCGACGAGTTCCCGTGCAGACCGCAGTCGTCGCGAGGCGGTTGCAGTTAGCTGTCGCGATTCGTAGAGCGTGTCGCTTAGGCCTCGGAGGGACAGCGTGAGGTCCGTTGTTTGTGCGATAAGAGTCTGGAGGCAGACGAGTGGGTTCAAGGAGGGCGACTGCGAAGGTGTGGTTGGTCTGGAGGAGCGGCGTGGCTGGCCGGGGAACGGGTAGGGCAGGTTAGGCAGAAGGCCTTCGTCGATGAGTGGGATTAGCTCGTCAATTGCGTCCGGAGAGAGGAGCGGATAGGGGGAGAAGAGGAGAGGGTGGGTGAGGGTCTGGAGCGTTCTGGTCTGGTGGGTTAAATGTGAGGTGATGGAGGTGTGTGCTGTTATTAATCTGCGGAGGTCAGCAGATGCTTGTAAGTTCATCAACTCAGAAGACGAACGTACCTCATGGCGTTGTTCTCGATCCCGCTCTGGCTCCCTAGGTCCCGGAGCGTCTCAACAACACGTTTGATGACATGATCGTTCTCACTGCCGTTGTTCTCGACCCCTCGCCGGGCTAAGCTTTCGATCTCAGCCATCTGCCCCTCCAGACTAGGCGATATGTCTGCCGCTTCCTCGAAATCCGACTCGTTGCCGTAGTCGGAACCATCGTATTGCGATTCATGTCGCCGGTGATTTCGTTGAGAACCGTTGCGAGCTTTGACACGGGGCGGTTGCAGCGAGGTATGGCCCAGCGCGTAATCCGACAAGGGCGATCGTGGTCCCATATCGTAGTCGTCCTCTCCGTCACTTCTGGTTGTGCCTTGTAGGTCTCCTGGTGCATTGTCCTGACCAGAGGCGTAGCCATAACCCCCTTCCTCTTCTTCATCCCACGCGTCCGCGAGTTCGTCTGCAAGGTTTCCCAGCCCCCCTGCAGCGTCTGCAGGGCCTCCGAAGTCACCTGATAGCCTGTACGACCCGTTCATGGCTTGCGCATTCCGCTGGCGGGGTTCACCCGGCGAAGGGGGCGCTGAGGAACGAGGCGTCCGAGGCGATCGTGTAGGACTCTGAGAGAAACCATTTGGAGCGTATGTTCCGGGGGAGATGGGGTCGAAATTGAGGTTGGAGGACTGGCTGTGACTATGGCGGTGAGATAGCCTCAGGGGGGATGGTGGGATGGCCGGCATGATGCAGGTCAGTTGAAAGGAGGTCGAGGATCCCACGTGGGATTGTGACAAGGAATGCAGACAACAGTGAACCGAGAATCACTCCTCAAGGTTTTGGATGTCCTGACAGATCAACTGTGTTGTTTTATTTCTCAGGGTTGAGGGGTCTGTATCGTCAAATGTCGATCGCGGAATGAGCTGGACGCGGGCACCACACTGAGGAGAGGGAATAGCAAGACAGGAAGTCTCAATAATCATAGCATCACCAGGATGCTGGAAGGGTAGAAGGAGAGACAAGAGAATGGACGAATCTCATGACACAAAGAATGAATTTCTCAAGAGGAATAATAAAGAATGATGATGATGCAAAGACAATGAACTACTCTCAGCAGAGGAATAAACAGCCGCTCTTCCCGTGACCGCCGAAGCCCCAATCAGATCAGTTGATTTACATCAGCTTCATTATTTCATCTTCACCCCACACCACCAAGAGCTTCACTTCTGCCGAGCTTGCCTACGGCCGGCCATTGACAGCCATTCCCTATTAATAGCAAAAATGAGTTCCATCCGGCGCATGTCCCCAACGGACCTCCTCTCCCTGAACCTTACCAACCTCGACCCGCTGACCGAAAACTACGACCTGGGCTTCTACCTCAACTACCTCATGCGATGGCCCTCACTCTTCAGCGCCGTCAAAGACCGCACAGAGGGCATAGTCGGATACAGTACGTGCAAGCCAAATCGCAGCTATATCACCACTGTAAGTCCGTCACGTCGCTAATGAAATCACACAACAGTCATGGGCAAGCTCGAAGAACAACACCCTTCAATGCGCCACTCGGAACACTACACCCCCTGGCACGGACATATCACCGTGCTGACTGTTGCCCCAGCCTGGCGACGTCTGGGCCACGCGCGCCGCCTGACAGAGCGACTCGAGCACGGATCCGATATCAACGATGCCTGGTTTGTGGATCTATACGTGCGCGCGGGGAATAAGGTCGCCGTGGGGATGTACAAGGGGATGGGGTACTCCGTGTTCCGGCGGGTAGTCAATTACTACAGCGATGACCCGACGGGGATGTCGGATTCGGGCGAGGATGCGTTCGATATGCGCAAACCGTGCAGTCGGGATAAGAAATTGCAGCATGTACGCGAGAATGGGGAGGAGTTTTTGGTGAATCCGGAGGATGTTTCGTAGCAGGTAGCATTTATCTTTCCGTTTGAGCGGGCTGTGGGGCTTGATGCAGTTGATTTAGCATGCTGGCGTTGGGGTTTATACTATGGTTTTCTGCGGCAATATGGATTCGAAAATATGGGATGATGATAGACAAAATCACTTTTATTTTCCCGCTGAGGAGAATGCTAGACCCTATCATGCATGGTGTATATATGAAACAATGCGAAGAACCCATTCAATATGAACAACTGTTCACGATGCAAAGCCGAAAGCAAAGCCACGGCCTCGCTCTATAATGCAATACTATGTACCGATTATTATGATATGTGCTTTTATTAAGCCACAAACGCTTCGCATGAGTCGTGCAACGTTGGTAACACTGGTGGCTATCATGCTCTGACGAGCAGCCGGGGCCCAGTACGCGAGAATCGCAGGGCCCCCAAAATAGCGCCTGCCGTGATGAGGCAGCAAGCGGTAAAGAGTTGAACCCCGAGGTATTTATGGGTATCACTCATGATGGCTCCACCAATTGGTGTTCCAATCAGCAAACCAATCGAGGTCGTGGCGAAAACCATGCCAAGACGAGTACCCAGGTCGCGGATATCTTTCGTCAAAGTGACCATGACTACCGGTGGGAGTGAGACAAACCCACCGGAGCAGAGACCGTACAGGACGGCAAGAACAATGATGCCGGGCACATTGTGCACGCCAATCCAGGCAAAGGCTAGAACAGCCGTAGCTGTGGCTGCTGGCATCAGCATGTTCAGTGGGCCGGTGTGATCAGCAACGAAGTTGGGAAGATTCGTCCCACGGTAGAACCAGCATTAAGCATGGAGAGCAGATAGAACCCCAGGTTCGCATCGACGATACCCGTGTCGATGGCATAGGACTGCACGTAGAACAGGAAGTTGTAGAAGCCCAGGAAGCCCAGAAACATGGCAACGGCGAACATCATGAACGCTGGTTCTTTAAAGGCAGACAGCTGGACCAACTTGCGTTTCTCGGTAGGCAGAAATCGCATGCGCATGAGTGATAGGGAGATGCAGCAGGTTCCGAAAGCTACGAAGCCCAGTGCGCGAGTCGCCCACGCAAATCCAACTTGGTCCTGCAGCTTATTGAACATTATTGGATAGACCACCCCCCCAATACTGCTGCCTGAGGCTGCCAGTCCGTTGGCTAATCCTCGCTTCCGCTTGAAGTACTGGGGAAGAATAGCAACCGAGGGAACGAATAGGCATCCAGCAGCCAGGCCGATACAGATTCCCTGACAGAGGATCAAGTGCCAATATTGCGAAGAGATACTGGTCATCATCAAGCCAAATGGAAGCACGACGCTGCCAAATATGACCAGAGCTCGAAAGTATCCGGCATCAAACAACGGGCCGGTCACTACTCCAAAGAGCATCAGAAGAAACGACTGCAGAGATCCAATCCAGGCAATGGACGATGACGAAACATTGGAGAGAAGATTTTGTTCATAGTATGCCTGGAAAGCGCCCCATGTATTGATCACACCCCTAAGACGACCTTGCGATTAGCGGTTCGAAAGAGCAGCCTCAAAATGTCATGCATTCAGAAAGTACCTACCATGAGTTGAAGAATAGGAAGAATGACCCAACGACCTGCAGCCATGCCAGGACGCCTGTATCGAAGGTTGGCTCCTCTGAATGTTTTTCTCCGGACTGCTGTTCCGATGTGTCGCATGTGCGCATATTGCTCTCATCATTGTTGCTATTCACCGAGGGCGCAACGGCCTTCTCCGCATGTGCCCTCATCCCCATTCCTGTCCCTCCAGAGCAATATCGTATAAATCGGACTCAGCGCGCGAAGAACCACGGCCGATTCTATGTGTAGCGGAAATGTGATGGCGAACTATGCAAGAAGGGCATGTATAGTCCAACGAGTCCGCATAGAAATACAAGTTGGAGACTGACGATGAATTGATTCAAAGCGGACGAAAATAATTCAAGAACCCCCCAACACTGTCAATTCTATCAACATGCGACACGGGAAAAGCAGCAGATGACCAAGACCAAATTTATAACTATACGAGAATGATTTCTCAGCAACCGTTAAGAGTCAGCGGGGCAACTAAAAAAGCCCAAGCTTGCCAGCCAGAGGCCCGATAGGATAAACCACTGGGACTGCGGCTACAGAAGGAGAGATCCACTGTGAGCCGGTCCATAAGTATTCCTAGGGAGATCAGAGGAATGAGTCAGTCTTCAAGACTCCAAACTCTAGACATACGTGACCGGTTTTTGGGGCGTCGGTTGTATCGGATCGAGCCCATTGACCCTACAGGTCAAGATTTGATAGGTGTAGTAAGTTACTTGCGGCATTGACTACCGCTGGAAGTCTAGAAGAATTCATCCTTGTCCTTGGGGTAACTCCGAAAGCCTTCTCCATTCGAGCAATAATGGCCAACCGCCCCTGATGGATAACCGAGGGGCAAGGGCCCACTCCAACTACCAAAGTCGGTAGCGAACTCAGGCCTTAAAGACAAGTCAGCAATATTGTCATATGCTGTAACTGTGATTGATTATCAGATGAGGTAGCAATTAGAACGGGCCGCGGGTGAATTAAGGCGTCCCAGGCCGCCAAAAGCATGGACAACGTGATGTGCCGACTTATCCAGCGGGGAAGGCGCTTGCTTCCTGATGCTTGGGGCTTGATTCTCATTAATAATAGATACGAGGCGTATAAGATTGTGCCCTCACAGTAGCTTTGGATGCTGCTGGACACAAGAATAAAGTGCCCTTGATCATGTTGAAATTCTGAACTAATGAGGAATTGAAGTTAGTCTAGACTCGACTGAAGCCAGGTAAAAAGCAAAGATCACAGTAATGAATAAAAGGAATAGATAGGGTAAAACTTGACTTGCGGTGGAATGTGGATCGCCAAAGACCGAATCCACGTTTTCCCGCATTTCGATCCCCGAGACTCCGTGTGCTAGATCCGAGTCAGATCATTCGGGAGCATGAACCAGACTTTAGCTTCCCATTTGCAGTTATGGAGAGATGAGAGACAGAATTCAAGATTATATATGCTGCGGCCGGAGATCGCAACAGTATCCGCGCGATTCAAGAATATGGTGATGATTACTGTATGATACTGTGTAGCAACATGGTGTTGACTGCCTAGTTATCACATGATGTCGGATCTCACGCTAAGCTTCTTTTGGCAGAAGGCTGTATGCTTAAGTTTACAGACGACGGACGGGCTACTTCAGATCGTATCATATTGGAGTCCACCAACACAAGCTCATCAAGCTCAAAATCACTGAGGGCAAGTGGAGATACAGACTTGCTGTCTACTGGACTTGTTGCAACGGCTACTCCAGCCTGCAAAGGGACAAGAGAAATGGAGGTTCGTACCCCTCAGGGGGAACTCCTGTACTCTTCACTTTTCGCATACTTCGTTCGGTGTTTTATTATGTTTGCCCTGATATCGTGCAATAGGGAGTTATGCTCGAGTGTTGTGAGCGCAGGCTTCCAGACAGTACACGTAGCATACATTTTGTTGGAAATGCTAGAGACTATTGGAAACTCCAGGTGTTTTGAGGATGTGGATAAATACTCGGGCCAATGGAGTGAACGTAACATTTTTTTCATATTCTATCCATCAAACGTCAAGTATACTTCTTTTCTGTTCTTTGCTGAATTCCAAATCCCGGCGACCGGATCATTAGCGATGCAATGAACGGTTCGCTTCCTGCTCCCAAACTCCGAACGCTATGCGGGACGTCAAATCAGAAGACCATAATTAGAATCACAAGTAGAAACAAATAGCTCAGTCTCAACAGAAATCCACCCAAAGTGTGATCAGATCTAGAGTAACTCTTCACACGTCCAGTCCTCGTAGCTAGATTTTTCGAAAGCGGATTAGACTTGCGTCCATGCTCAAGATGAAGGGATAACTTACGTTCCGTCTGGCAGATATCTCCTCACAATGAGTGGGATCTTCTTCTGGTTCAGCTCCTTGATGGCAATCTGCAAAGGATCTGTCTCTCCCTCAAGATCTACAAGCACGGGAGCATTCATACTGTGACAAACGTCAGTTCCACGGTCTTCGCATGCTACGTCTCGCACGATGACGAACCTGATCTGCAAAGCTCTGGTACCCAAGACTCGTGCCCTTTCGTATTTGGTCATGTACGGGGTTGTCTTGCGTTCTTCGTTGGGGATTTTCTTCGCCCGTGCTTGTTCCACCACCTTGCCCGAATATCCCGCACTGGGATCGCCAGAGACGACAATACGGTCACCATTGACTGCCGGCGTATAGGAATCATCCACATAGCCATCGGCGCCTTCCTCGGCACCTTCGATATCCTCGGGGTTTATGAAGTCTTCGGGCTCATTCTCGTCGAACACCTCCTCCGCGGGCTCGTAGTCATAGCTGTAAAATGTGCGAGTCAGAACGGCTGAACTAGCTCAAGAAACCATTTTCGCCAGTGGATTGTGCAGCAAGCAAGTGGACTGCTTCCAATCCAGACCGGAAAATGCAATCTAAATGAGGTGTCCTTACGTTTCCTCAGCATCGTGATCTCCGTAGTCAGACATGGTGTCAAATTGAACTTGGCAAACCAAATGGATAAAAATCAAGCGAGCGTGTTCAGCAGCCACACAAGTCAAAGGACGGCCAATATCACGTCCGGGAATTGAGACGACGCGGAAAGATCGACCTTGCGACAGGCTTGGTGAAGATGGAAGATTTCGATGTCGCGACCCTCCAAATGGCGGCGGAAAAAGTTCCTTGGCCCCGTTAACACTAAGCCCTTTTGGGTCAGCTTCGTCACCGCTTTTAACATCAGTCCCTGGCAAAATTTTTAAATATAAGATATTCTTATCAGCAATTGAATGTGCGCTTAATGCGTTGACCATTGTTCGGTCTATGCTCTTAATGGTTGTCTTCCTGTGAAAGCCTAATGCAAGGGCTCTGTTTGAGCCATGGGTGAGAAGCGCAAACTTGAGTCGGATGAGCTCGCTATCCCGAACAAATCTCGGAAACACACGGCGCTGGACGATGCTGGTAAGACGCTTGAACACCGGGATTTTATTGACTCTGGAGCTGAACATCGCTGTCGCAGATCCGATATACGAAGAACCTCAGTCAGATCCCGATTATGTATCTTCCGATGAAGTCAGTGTGAACAGCGACAGTCTCCACGAGACTCCAGCGACACCGTTCTCTACGACCTCAGCCAGATATCCTTCGGAGCTGAAAACTCACCGCTGCCCCTTCGATGGTTGCACAAAGGCATTCAACCGGCCGGCGCGACTTCAAGAACACCTGCGCTCCCATAACAATGAGAGGATCTTCAAGTGCACGTTCGAAGAATGTGACAAGACGTTCCTCCGCGCATCTCATCTGAATCACCATATCAAAAGCGCACACACTGGGGTCCGAGACTACGTATGTGACCGTCCTGGCTGTGGGAAGAGCTTCGTGACCGGCTCCCGGCTCCGTCGACACTTGGCTGCCCACGATGGACGAGATAAGTACCGCTGCACGGAGTACCCGCCCTGCAATGAGACGTTTCGGAAGCATTCCACCCTTCAAAAACACATCATGACCGCACATCTCAAGCAAAAACCTTTCCAATGCCCGCACACAGACCCGAGCACCGGGCAGAAATGTTCAATGGCATTCGACACAGCAGGGCACCTTCGAGCCCACGAAAGCCGCATCCACACCGAGAAACGTTTTAGTTGCACAGAATGCTCCCGGCACGCAGAGGGCTCCGCAGCAACCTTTCCCACCTACGCCCTCCTACAAGCGCATATCCGATCCGTCCACCCCCCGCAATGTACCAACTGCGCTCTCACCTGCGCGACGTCCCGCGAACTCCGCCGCCATCTCGAAGTCGCGCACGGCGACGTCAGTCTCGAGGAACGCAAGACATTCGCTTGCACCGTCCCCGGCTGCGACCGCAGCTTCACCAAGAAGGGAAATCTAACCGTGCACGTCCGCACCGTCCACGAAGGCGAGAAACGCTTCGTCTGCGGCGAGACCGACCTCTCGTCCTCGAAAAAGGTGCCCGGCTGGAACAACGACGGCTGCGGCAAGCGATACGGGAGCAAGCTCGCGCTGGAAGAACACATCCGCACCGCACACCTGGGCTACCAGAACGCCAAAGCCGAACGCCGCCAACGTCTCGGCCTCACCCGCGATCGACAGCATTCCACCGCAACCTCACCTGGTGTGTCCGCGCTGGCCGCGCTCACGGGTGAGGGCTACGCCGAGGAAACGGGCCGCCACATCTCGTGTCTTGTTGAGTCGTGCCCGCATCGGTTCCACAGAGACTACGATCTCTGGGTCCATATGAGCGGCAAGCATCATTTCTCCGACGAGGAAACCCGGGATCTATTTCTGCGGCGGGCGCTGCTCGCGCATGAGTTCGGTGCGACTGCTTCTGCTTCTGCTTCCTCTGAGGAACTGTTTGGGGGCATCTACGGCCTCGAATTCGATAACGATCCTTCGTCGTATGACCCGTATGCGTTGAACGGGACGGAGACTATAGCGGCTTCTGACGCGGTCGAGTCGAAGCCGTTGCCTGCGCACGGCGCCGATGTAATGATGCATGACAGCAATTCTACGATACCCACTACTGGCGATGATATGGCGCTGATTGATCCTGTACTGGCTTACGATATGATGGAGTCGTAGCTTTGGAGCGATTTACTTTTGATATTTATTTTCGGGATTTCTCTATGACCAAAACTTTTCTTTCATAAGATTCTATCCTTTGAGCTGATCATGATAAATGAAGAATATGCTGGATCAAATCTATTCGTTCAACCACTGGCCCAGATCACATGTAGATCGCATAGATGGCTGTCAACCTCATGCTCGTACTCCTACGCAAATCTAGCAGGCCGTAAGAATCAAACTACTATAATCAAGTCCAATCGCTCACCTTTACTTTTAACAGCGCAGTATTGATGATGATCGAGCTGCTGAAGGTCAGTAATCGTCAGGTTTCCGGGTTCCGACCTATGAAACCAGGCCCGTCAGAGACGGTCTGGTCTGGCCATCAGTACACTCCTGGCTTCAGTGTCAGCATTCACAAAGCAAAACCTAGTGATGCCCCAAGCGGGGACACTCATCTCGGCGTGAGTCAGTATGTTACGCGAAATTCAGCATCTTGACCTGGTTGGATGAATGGTTAGCTGCTGGCTCCGCTCCGCGTAACGTGAGATAAAAATGGAAAAAATGCATCAGCCATGAGAAACAGAACAAAATTCACAAAGGGGAGTATGAGTAACTATGTAAGTACATATGTGGTTTTCTTTTTCCTGCTTTTTCATTCATGTCCCTGGAAATGAGTGTCTTTGTTTCTTCGATATGGAAACTAGATAGGCCGCAACGCCTCGACAAGTGCCAACAGAAGACCGGCCCCGAGCGCATGCGATCATCGCAGCCAGAAAGCTTCAAGAAGACAAAAGATATCTTCACCCACGAAGAAACAATTTGGGAACCAAGGGGTTTGTGCTAGATGAAACGAAAGGAAGAGGATGGATGACCGTACCAAACCAGATTGAAGCTGATCCTTGAGACTGAACGCAGCTCAAACCGCCAGCCATGACTTCTTCCCGTTCTTTTTAAACTTTTCCCCATTTTTTTGCCGATTTTCGAATGTTTCCTGAGAGGAGATGGCCAAGTCACTGTCCAAAGGCGGATATTCAACGGATCGCTGGCCAAAGCAACATCAAGGCTGTGCAAGACGTCACTGCCGGCGTGCAGTTTAAATCCTAGATCGAACGTGCGTAACCTGCGAAGTGGTAGACGGATTGCTCTTCCTCTGGGGAAGCAGGATGGTCAAGAGTTGTTTCCTCAGCAAGAAGGCTTGCAGAAGGAATAGCCAAGGGGCCGGTTTTCTTTGCCATGTTCTGCTAAGTAAGTAGAAATTAGCAACCTCCATAAAAGGATCAGACAATTTAGTTCATTCCCTGTGTAGACTGACTGTGCGATTGCCCTCCCAAGCTCCAGCGAGAGATCCATGGATTTCGGGGAATTCAGTGACCATACGAATCTGCATGCCCTTGGAAGACTGGCGACCAGAGGTGCCGTGGTTGGAATAGCCCTGCTTCTTCTTGGCGCTCTTCTTCTTCAAAAAAGAGGCCATCTCAACCTGGCACCAGACCAGAATTCTGGCAGATCTGAAGACGTCAATAAAGAAGGCCGGGTTACGGTTCGCGTAGATCTCGTCGTCGTAGGGAAATGGGGTCGGGACCTGGGATTTAATCGAGCTGGGGCACAGTCTGACCTCGGCAAGTTTCTGCATAAAGAGGATGTAGCTGGCACTCGGTTTCTTGGAGGGCTTGTGGATGGTAAAGTTACGAGCAACGTCGCAAAAGAGATGAACGGCCGCAAGTCCTCTCGCTAGACCAAGCCACTGAGCAACCTTGAACAGCAGACTCATGATTTTTTTCTGATGATCGTTCAGAGGCCAATCAGACACATCGACAAGATCAACATCGGTAGATGAGGAGCGAGGAACCCTGATATGTTCTGGTGGCAGCCATCCAAATCTACGAGCCTTATCAGGGTCATGCTCCATGACATGGTGTTTGAAAAACTGGTGGAACCTTGTGAGCTCAATTTCAGATGACAGATAATTGTTCCAGCCAATGCAAGCCTGAGAGCTGTCACACCGCTGTGCCCTCATGCTTGTCAACACAGTGCGCTCAGTACAGACGGGGAGATCATTATAGAAGTGTCCTGTGTTCATTGTGGTCAGCTTCATCGGCAGGTGGAACAGTGAACGTGAGATCTTACTTTCCTCGTCAATCTCCTCCGTTGCAGACCGCATGTCACGCTCGAACGCTCGAATCACCTTGATGGACGCTTCAAGTTTCTCGCAGGACTTGCCAATCTCAAAGGGCCTGCAGTTGATCCAATATATGGTCTTATCATCGTCTCCACGCAAGGTCGATAGCAGCCGTCTCAACATCTCAATCTCGGACATGAAGAACGTCTCGTCGACCAGTTGAGTCTCGCTTGGCTCACATAAAGCAATGGGATAACGAGCACGCAGCCACCGCACTAGCTTCACTTGGGCGGTTTCGATCTTGCCGTCGGTCTGAAGAAGGAGGATTAAGAGATGGGCGAAGGAGCTGGGGAACAGATCTTCCTCGAGCAGTGGTAGCGTAGCCATGATCTCTCGAGTAAGGGAGTCGGGATCGAATCCTTTGGCAAATTCGTCCATCAGTTGAGCAAAATCCTGAAGCTCGGCCGCGGTGATTTCTTTGACTTTCTGATCAGCCCAAGGCAGACCCTCATCGTCACTCTCTTCGATATCGTCAAGTCCAACGGTAGTCTCGAATGGATCCTCGCATTCAAACTCAGGTGAGAGAGGGAACACGTCCATATTGGCGACAAAAAGCTCAGCCACTGCTCATTGGAAGTTTCGAAGCCTGAGACAGGCAAAACACAACAAAGAACGCGAAAAAGAAGCGCCAAAATAGACAAAGTAATAGACAGAGAAACCGAGAGAAAAACAAACAAAATGAAAAGCTGAAGCTGAAAGGATGCCCGTGAAGTCGTTTCGATAGCTAAG